CCCCCCCAACGTGCATCCCCCGCCCCCCCCCCCCCCCCCTTCAGGCAGCAAAAAAAAGGTGACATCCCTGTCAGGGAACCCTTGCTAATTGCTATATCTATAGTTCACGGCATATAAGTGTGATGGTTAGTTGGTTAGTTGGGCGAATGCCATTTGTGGTGATTGGGAATATTCCCCACCTTGCAGATATCTAAAAAGATCATTGTTATCACTGTGTTACTTATCTGAGAGGCAGAGGTTGCTCAATGCTTGTCACGATACCGTGCACGGGTGTCCCCACACCGCATACAGGTATCTATGCGGGAGGACCAAATGTCTGACCACACCAGACCATGCTTATGAGTATAACGATCAAAAAGATTAACGATTAATCGAGAAATTAATCGTTAATTTGCACAGCCCTAGTATATAGTTTATTCCACACACTGAAAACAAGTAACCACACACAACTAATAATAGTCAACTAAAATGCAAAACAACATAATTACACACAAAATGTAACAGGGCAAGGGAACGTGGGGAGCAAGTCAACACAAGGGGTGCCACGGACCAATGGTCAGGGTACAAGGAGGCACCAGGACTCAGGTAATGGCGACGAGGCTCACTGCAGGGAGGGATTAAATACCCTCCCAGATCAGCACCAGCTGGTGCCTAATTGCTGACACCTGCAGGTGGGCCCTGGAAGTGCAGGATCTGATTCCAGAGTCACAGTGCCACTTGGAGGCGCTCAGGTCCCTGACAGCCACTGACTGCCCAGAAACACCTGCAGGTGAGCCCTGGAAGTGCAGGAACTGATTCCAGAGTCACAGTGCCACTTGGTGGCGCTCAGGTCCCTGACAGCCACTGACTGCCCAGAAACACCTGCAGGTGAGCACTGGAAATGCAGGGTCTGCTCCAGCGCCACCTGGAGGTGTTCTGGTCCCTGACAATGCTCAAGGAACCCCAGGAACCACTGGAGGAACCCTAAAGTTCTATGGAACCCTGTTTGAGGAAGGCTGGATTAGATTATGTTATCAGAACATGGCGATTTCACAAACCTTCATACCTTCCATTATGTTCTTGGACAATCAACGTCTACGTGGACACATTCCATAGTAATGGGTGACTAAGTTACCTGTGTGGCTATCAGTGCTGGGGTATATTCCTAAAACTCATTAGAACTGAAGAAGCTTCTTGGACAGTGAAACATCTTCAACATCGGTGTCACAGTGACACCCCGTGGAAGGTAATACATGCTTACCTGAGGCGCGGAGTCTAAGCACCAGCCAGTTTTCACCAGGGCTTCTGATGGTGGAGATGGGTTTTTGCTGCTTGCTGTTGCCAGCTCGCGGCCCCCAGGGTTGCCCCACCAAGGGATGAGCAGGACAGAAAGGCTCCAATGAGGAGACTGTAATCTGGAGCATGGTCAGGAAAAGGTAGAGAGCCCGACAAGGGAGCCAGACAATGGTTGGACGGTCTGGGTCAGCAGCCAGAAAGTAAGACACAAAGTCAGGTGACAAGAGCGTAGGTGGATCCAGGCGGGGGTCGAGGAAGGCAGCTAACAGAGAGTGGTCAGACGGTCCAAGTCGGCAGCGATTGGTCAATTGGTAACTCAGGAAACAGGAGCATAGTTGTGTTCAGGAAGAAGATCAGGGCAGGCAGCAAGCATAGAGGGGTCAGGCCGTCCGGGTCAGCAACGGGCAACAAACAACAGTATTATATCTCCTGTATACACAGATAGTTGGCTTGAAGACACAGCGCCGGCCCCTTACAGAGCTGGTGCTTAAGTACCTGTCTGAATTAGAAACGACATGCCTGGATTCTTTGACTATCTTTGGTCTTAGTGGCCCAGATTCTGCGAGGGCCATTAGACATAATAGCAGGCCTCCTGTGACTACCATTAGAGGTACTGGCGGGTCTTCTGGAAGTCCTGGCAGGGATTCTCAATGAAGGTCTGTAAAACCTGCCAGGGACACTGCGAGTACCATAGCAATTAGAGAACAAGTCCACTTGAATGTGACTAACTACGACTAGCTATTCATTAAAGGAGAACTATGAGGTTTTTAACCCATAGTTCTCCTCAGGGTCACGGGAGGACATAAACTAGTATCCTCCCCGTGACCCAAAGCTCAGCATATCGCGAGCTACAGCTTGCGGTATACTGAGACGCCGCAGCCGGGACGGAACCCGACATTACTGTCGAGATCCGCCCAGCTGCGTGATTGAGGCAGAGCCAGCTGTACCCGCCCCCTCCCCAGTCCGTTCTGCCAGTCAGCGCTGGAGGATCGGAGCG